ATTGTTTGATAAAATGAACAAAAATCGGTTTTAATAAAATTATCCGGTCCATTTTTCTATCACGAAAATCACAATCTCGTCTAAACTTTTTTGTGCACTCACCCGCCAACGGTTATAAATAATTAGAATTGCAGATATCCGCGACTCCGCTCCGATTACAGACTTTCTACACTCTGTAACGACTCTGCATAATTAACCTAACACACGTATACGCGCACATATATTTGTTTGTTTATTACGCCGTATAGATATTGCGGAGAAATAGTTGCGTACGCGCGAGACGCTATCACACGCGATCTTGTAACTAAGCCGACCGTGTGTGTGTGTGTGTGTGTGTGCAGGCGCATCCCGGGGTCACGGTAGATGCACCGCGGATGCATCATCCTTGTGACTCCACCAGTGCGTCTCCGCGTTGCACAACCAATATACACCGGCGTGTGTGCGTTCCGGACTTGACGCGTTATTACGACGCCGCTACGGCGTCTTGAATACCTTGTCTCGAGTGCCTCTTGATGATACACACGTATCATCTTCTCGTAAGTAATAAGTGCAATAAAAAGAAAAAGCGTTCGTATATCAGGCAAATAATTATTTAAAAATTTTACAAATCGAAAACAATTTGTTTTTTGTTAAATTATATCTGAGACGTTATATAAGTACGAAGTTAAAAGTGTTATACCGCAATCTGAAAGATAATTGTTATGCAGGCGAAATCTTAATGCGAAATGATGCAAAATACGTTGTGTAATCGAGGAGTATAATTAAAATTGTTCGACTGTGACACGAACAAACGTTTACAGCTGGAAGAGGAATAAATCAGTATGATAGAGTCCAGTTCTTTTTGCACGAAAATTACGTCAACGAAAAGAAAGTGCTACGCTCGATGGAGTGAGGCAAAAATTTTTAGCTCGCAAAACACCCTGTCGCAGCGACAGTGGACAGGGATGATAGAAATTGATAGATAAAAAATAAAAATGACAGATTTTGTGTGTACGTGTGTGTGTTATTACACAAAATATTTTTGTGTAATATGCAGAAAAGATCGTATCTTACTATAAAAATAGCATGAAACAGAGATTTGACTTAAAAGATTAGATATAACTTAATATACTAAGTAATAAGACTCAACGGTTTACGACCACTAGATTGCAAAATAAAGACTACTGCGGAAGATAAAATGATACGTAGTCGCGCGTTATTTTACGCGTAAAAAAAAAACACAATAACGCCATTCACTACGAGCAAAAATTCCTTTTTACCGTCGTGTTATAAAACAATGCAAGAGCCTCGCGTAAAATTCGAATAAAATCTCGCTTTATGGGTGCCCGTAAAGCGGAAAAAACTACGCTCGGTAATTAAAAGAGCGTTTTCTTTCGATATTATTGAGGAAATCGTGCATAAAACTTCGCAGACAGACATGGTCAGACATGGACAGTCACGATCGGAGATGAGAAAAAAATTTTGCGGGAGGAAAAACGTCTGGAAAGTTCTTCTTGATGTGGACCAAATAACTAACTAAAACCAGTTGTCCGCGCGCAAGAAACCGGGAACGGCCGAGGGAGCGTGGAAAGTTACGCGCGCGCGGCTGTGAGAAATCTTGTCGAATGGTCGAATAGTTACATAAACTATTACCGGTCGCGACATAGCAGAATGTCACTAAGAAGTCCTACATTACAAAATATCTAACAAGCAACCCGGTAGTCGCGTTGATTTAAAAATCAAAAGAGATCGCCGCGGATAATTCAATGAACCAGCAACTTCTCTTCTTCTAAAGCGCAATGTCACTCCGTTCGTATTTTCGCCGCGCGCAGTGTCGGATAAAGCAAAGTCTATTAACTTAAACGATTGCACGCACAACTGTCCATAGTTTGCGGACATAATTCGCCTACCAAGAAGATCGTACGTAATCTGAGAAATAGAGTTCGAGAGGAAGAAAGAGAAATCGTTCTCTCTGTTCGTTTTCTCATCCGCGCTAAATTTACGGTGAAAAAAACATAGTTTTCTTTTTTTTTTGTTTTTAGATTTCTAACGCATCTAAAATCAAACGGCGCATTAAAATCCTATAAGATGTGAACTCACATATATATTTCCGCCGCTATATTCACACACTTTGGGTGCAAAGTTCAAGCGCGTTTCTTACGATCATCTCGGATGGTCGATTCGATCTCACATCTCGACGCGACGTTGAAAAGAAATTTCGCGCGTGATAGGATTGAACGTAAATTACAACGCGACTTTAAAATGTTTTTGCGTCCGTTTAAAATTTATTTTTAGGCAGCGTATCGTAAACAAGACGCTCGTGCGGTGCTCGACTTACGTAATTACGACACACGTGCGTACGTATGTGTGCGTGTAGATACTGTAATTTATGCGCGTACGATCGTAAAGTTTGTTCTTCTTACCCTGGCAAATGTTCGATTCGCGAGCGTGCGGGATTACTCGCGCGGAATTGCGCAAATGTATCCCCATTCGTAACACTTGTTGATGCGGTGGAAAGTAATGTTACAAGCGCGAAATAATGACACTTATAAATCCACTCGCGTTACTTATAGAAAGCCGCCGCTGTAAATCAGTCCCCGAAGTGAATATAATGGGCCGCACGAGTTTCTATTTATCGGGAATGCGTCATCTCTCCTCAAGTGGCGGCAATTGACCGTTCGACGATATGCATAACGAGTTTTGCAATTACAAGAATATTTATGACGCATTTTAAAACACTGTGGTTTTTGTTTTTTTTTTGTTTTTTTTTTTAAGACGCGCATTCGCGACTGATATCAACCGGCACTTTGTCACAGACTGAACACTCGACCGACACTCGAGAAGGACAGACCCGGGGAAAAGGCATAATAGCGTGTCTCTCGAGTCGCGACTCAAGACGACGCGAATACGAAGTATTCGATGTCATAATCGACGTCGACTGGTTTTGAGGTAAAACCAGGCGAGGCATTGTCCAAGAAAACTCGAGGCACGTACTTGCGACGAGTACGCCCTTACGTCACGGTAACGACTGTCCTTCGTGAAACGTTTTGCGTTTCAGGGTTTCTGGTTTTTAATCCCGCAGTTAGTTTCCCTCTTGCGGCTTCTTCACTTTCGTTTCGCTCATATCGAGTTCAATTGCGCGCAAATGGAATATAAATCGCGCGGCAAATTTCAAACAATCGTAATTTAAAAAAAAAAAAAAACGCACAAATGTCACATATACTTACGTATCTACAGTTTTTTTTTCTGGCATTTTCGCTCGAGTTGCGCAATTCTTTTTTATGCGCGACCGACGTGACGACGCGCGCGGCACGTCGCATTGGCAAAAACTTTCTAATAACCCTGACATTTCGTATACAGTAAAAAATCGAAATTTAATGAAAGATTCGTTCTTGCGAATAAATGTTAACGATCTTGTTTCTTTAATAGAAATAAACAAGAAACAAATGTCTCGAACTCCGCTCCGTAAATTTAGTCTCTTTCGCAAAGCGGGAATATAGAAATCTCTAAACCGCAAGCCGGAGCTATAGCTGGAAGTTTTTCGACTGTCGGTGACTGTTCGACGGTCTCGCTTCATCCAGGTAAACGCGTTATTAACCCGATCGTAAAATGCGCGCGACGTCAATTCGTTACCGCTTTGGCGATTCGATTCTCGATAGTAAAAATCGAGACAATCGCTGAAACTATCTGTTGACGGATGATAGAGGCAATTAACGTGCCAATAAAATGCCACACACATATGTAACGTTGTTTACAAGTTATATCAAACGCGCGCGTGGTAGTGTTGCACGTCGAGCTGCTCCAACAACGTGTTTCGCGAATCGCTTCGAAAGGTCTCTCAAACAAATTAATTGTGATCATTTATACCGCGATCTTGATAATTATATACACACAAACAATCTCATCTCACGCGCGTAAATAAAATTATATTTTTTTATCTGTGCGACACATCGCACATCCGTGTTTGTATCTGGCATTGTTAAAATGACGCGACGCGCGGAAGGAACGCGCACTGTGCAGAACGAAATGGAAAACGCAGAGGCAGAAAGAGAGTGAAGGCATAAAAAAAATCATCGGCGTGCGCGATCTAGAAGATAGACACAGCCACGTCACGTTCATTCATCCCCGCGTTATGCAAGCGACTCTCGGTATAAACCCGGTAATTAATTCACCCGCCAGTGCACTTTCCCTATTTTGACACGCCAGCCTACGTCCTTTCCCCGTTGTTTGTAAACGCCCGTAAAACGATCAATTTGTTTTTTTTTTTTTTTGTTTGCGAACACCAAGAACTCTAATGCACCATGATATTGGCTTTCTCTCTAAATGCACTCGCCACACAAGCGCTTTGTACCCCACAAATTGCCTGCCGTGTCGTCGTTATATAAAAGGCGCCTCTTATTGCGCGCCGCGCAAAACGTTTCGAAAACGTTAAATCCCGGACGGCCTTTCTAACGTTCGAGGAAATGCAGAAGGAGACATTTGTGGATTTTGTTTTTTGCTTCAGATTAACGGCAATTAGATCGCGTATAGAGAGTAAATGTAAATAATAATCATAAGAGTGATCTCTCGTCGGCGCGCACCTGTCACAGCGTATTCGATAAAGTCCCGCATATACAAGAGAGAGAGAGAGAGTTCTCTTCTGTGAAGTACTCGACAAAAAATTGATCATTTTTCTTCCGCTCGAAAAAACAGAAGAAGAAAAAGAACATTTTTCCGGATCGAAGTTCTCCGCGCGAGCAGCAATTAGACCACGCGGAGAGAAATGCAATACCAGAAGAGCCTCTCCTTGAGAAGATCTCCCCACCTAGCCGCACCGGCTGTATCTAATAACCGAGCGCGCGGATGAGGTTCCATCAGGTTCGACGTTTCTAACCGCCTCTCGGTTGTGTCCCGTTATGTAAAACCCCGCGCGTGTGTAAGAGCGTCTCTCTTGATACGCTCTCTCGCGCAACTTCGTTAATCAGATATATATTGAATGACGTTCGGTGAACGTCGAATGAATCTCTTTCTATTCTATGTACCTTGCCGGCTGTGGTCGAGTCGGACGACGTCGGGCTCAGGCCCTGCTGCAAGTGATACATCTTAGGGGTGAGCATAGCTGGTGGTGCACCGAGGCTACCCGGGGCGACAGCTACGCTCGTCATGGTCATTTCCCGCGACGATCGCAGACCTCAGTGTCTTCGCAGCACCATCAGTCCGCGTCCTTCTGTTTCTCGCGCAACCTCGCATCCTCAGGTTGTGGCGAATCTGTAACCGATAACGCGGATTGTTTTTAGAGATATCTTTCAAATTTCAATTTATTAGAAATAAATGAACACACACGCGCGTGTGTGAGGAAAACAAATCTTAATCGAATGAAAAAAAAAAAAATGTTACATCAAATATTATATAATTGTAATAGATTTCAAAAGTCCAATCTTTGATCTTTAGACAAAAAGAAAACAAATCTCTATTGCACACTTCTGTTTACTACATATATATTTTTGTTCCATGGAGAAAACTCGGTCTCTGTGTTTTGACACAATATGCCGACGCTAATTGCATTAACATCCGTGCGGCGGGAGATCCACATCTCGCCGGCGAAAATGATGGGTTCGCATTCGACAGTAGCTAAACGGCGTTCCCTTGCATAATCATCGCGATAAGTTACGACACCTGACAATAGCAACGTGCAATTTCACTTCTCTCGCCGGGAGATCGCGATTGCGCAATTTTCGTCGCGCCAGACAACGAGACATCCCAATAATCCCGAAACCGTCTGAAGAAACTGTCAATTCGTACGATCTGTTCGTAAAGAATAACGATATAAAAATTCAAACGGTTCATAATACACACACACACATACGAAAAATGAATGCACAGATGTTGGATAAAGAAAACTTAGTAACTAGACGCGTAAGAACCGCTGTGAAACATCTGTCAGCCGATCTTGCGACTAACAGTCAATGCAAACGAGCTCCACAAATTAATTCCACGTACGCGAGGGAACGCGATAACGTACGAGCGAGACTATCTTGGCTACAGCTTAATTAACAGAGCGAGAGAGTATTTAATAAATGGAGCACGTAACTGTTCAAAATTAAGAAGCGAACGAGCGTCTAATGATGAATCGCCCGTCGTTCGTATCGTAACGCACATGCACCGTATATTTAGCGGTATATCGCGGCTCGCCGTTTGAGGATAATAAAATTCTGGAAAAATTGCAGATTCGCAGAAGAGAGAGGCGGTCTTTATGTATATACAATTTGTGCGCTTTGTAATTTATGGATCTCGTTGTTTCCTCTAAGTGCGGCCCTGCTCGCGCGACTGCATTCGTACGCACGAAGAGCACGCAAATAAAGACGTCTGCAGCGCGCAGCCACCGACCGAGTCGACGCGTTATACGACCGTGGAACGCATGCTCGAGATTCTTTTCGATGCGCCTCCGCTCGTGATGTGTGAGTAAACACACACGCCGAGTGATAAACAACCGAGACGATCGTAAAAATCGATCCGTAACTATCGTCGGGTGAGTGCAAAAGTTTTGATGGATCTCTGGTAAGAAAAATGGAATCAAGTAATTTCGTAAAAACACGACTTATTATTCACTTTGCCACGTAATTCTTATTGTTTTCTATTATATTTCACTGTTGTACTCGAATGGAATAAATAAATCGATTTTGGTTAAATTGTTTGGTTTATTTTTCTATCACGGGGTCAGAGCTTTTGCGCTTACTCCAATAATTTTGCGTGAGATCGCGGGAAAAAATTCTGAAGTATCTATTAAACGCTCGTCGGAATAAGGATGAGACAAATCGTACTCCCGAGATAGCGATCTCGACATTGATCTCTCGGTGTTTAATAATGTGTCTTTCTTGCGAACAAACTCTGACGAAGAACATCTTCGTGAAGGTGAACAACTTCGTTGTATCATCAGCGACATGATAGATCTGTTGTTCTCGGTTGTCGAGATATAATATTAGAACTGCACGGAAAAAAATTTTACTATTATATAGTTAGCAAGAAAGATTTCTAAGTTTATTGAAGTTTTTTGTTTCACTAAAAAAATTGTCTTTTTAGCGGCAAACTTTTCTTACTTGCTATGTGGTAACTAATTTTTTTCGTTACTCCAGTAAAAATTTTGCCCCGTGTGATTTTATATATATATTTACATAAAACATCTCTTTTTTTTCTGATTTCCAACAGTCGAGTGAGCGTATAATACGCACACGTGCGGCACACACGGGCGTTCGCGTTATTCGCAAGCTGCGCAAATCGCGTTTCATGAATTGCAAAACTAGGAACGAACAAAGAGGAGCAACGCCGACTCCATAACAGGGAGTGCTCGACTCGCCGAAAGACAATGATCAGCCATTCGCTTTCGTAATAACACGGTATGTCTGCGAGGTATATCTAGCTCCGAGAGAAGAGAAACGGAGTGAAACAACCTTAGGGGTATCGACATTGCAAAACGATCCAAATAAAAATGGGACTATTATCTCGGGACTATCTTCAAAATCGCTCTGGCCGTGTTTTCTTCTCTTATGTTGTCGCGTTGCTCACTTTTTCGTCTGCGAAAAACAAATCACAGTGTCCGTGTAACCTGTAATTACACACGTGGCAAAAAATTGGACCAAATTGTGCTGCGCCCGCGATAGTTGGAATGACAGGTTAGAGAAACACATTGATTGCACAGACAAAATAACAAAGTAGAAATATAAAATACGGATGGAAAATTAAGAGCACCGTATCTAGAGCTTTTAAATAAAATAAAATTTTTCCTTTTTTACGAGAAAGAAAGAAAAATAATCTAAAATAAAACCACAAAGAAGAAAAAATTCCAAAAATTTTTTCTACCTTACGACTTCATAAAATTACAGAGAAAGTTGCAAAAAGCACTGATTCGAATTGTCACGTTAAACTTTCGCTACGAACAAATAGATTTCAAAGTTTTCGAAAGTCCGTTATTATCGAGAAAATGTATAGAAGTAACAGCGGAACATTTCTGTATACACATGTTTAGAAGAATAATAATAGAATATATATATTGTGATCGTGCGTGGCGAGCAACAGGATAGCAATGATGATGATGATGATGATGATGATGATGATAATCATGATGATGTAATCCACCGGTAAAACCGAAACACCGCGCATTTCCTCGGTCTTGTAACCTCTTACAAGACCGAGCACGTGTATTCGCACGGTGTGCGCAGCTCGTTGTACATCGCCGATAAATCGCCGCGGTGGAAAGTAACAGCCGAGGAAATCGCCCATAACGAACAATTATGTCGTTACCGTACGGTAATCAGCGGTGCGCGGATTTGGATGGCCAAAACGCCGAGACAAATCGGCAAAATTTTACGACGCGTTCACATAACGAGATTCTTTTCGGAATTTTAAACGGCGATTCAATTTTAGATCGCTCAGCGCCGATACAATTGAAGCAGAAAGTGCCGGTTTTTCATAAACACCCGCAGGAAAAACCCGCATTGAGAAACGAAATAATTGATACGTAATATTCATCATCATCTCGGCGTAGAACGTTGCATTCATCTCGACAATAGTAATGAAGAAGAAATACGAAGTCTGCTGATGTCCTAGAAGTATAAATTGTTATTTACGTAACTTCATGAGAGATTTTCTTCCGTCGGTCGTCGCGACTATAAAAATTCGCACGGTCGAGGATTTTCTTATTGCTAGATAATGCTTCGATCATTTGTGTCACATGAGCATCGTCCAGCCTTGGTGCATGCACGTTAATTACGTCCTCTAAACGGCTGATCGTGTGTGTGTGTGTGTGTATGTGTGTGTGTGCACGACGTGAAATTAAAAATATCAACCTTTCACCCGATGATGATGTCTCTCACGCGTAATAACGCGAATAAATATTGAGAGGCGTCGTTTATCACTTTGTGTCGAAATTAAAACACGAAGTCATAATGCGCGATTGAGTGATATATAGATTAGTACACGCGCGAAGAACTCGTCTTTCATATATTTTTATTTATTTATTTATCTGGCATCTCGAAAACGCTGATACAAATCATCGACGAAAAGAGGACAAGTTGTCAAACATCACATGATTTTGTTTTCAAGTCAAGTTTTGAAGAACAGAAAATTTAAAAAACTATTTTTTTAACTTTCTTCAAACACGCGCGTATGAAGATTCGTGATACGCAAAGACTCATCTCCCCGGAAGAAATGCGCGAGACGCGTTAATGTAGGTTAACATACCTCTCGAAGGACGACGTGTGTGAGCACATACTACTCCGAGTACTGTTAACTCGCGCCAACTGACTCTCATCGTAATGCAGCGTCGCGGCGTTCAATGATTTTTACTTGAGCTATGTCGCGCCGCGCATTCTGACGCGCGCGCTCAGTGTTGGATGTCTGTGTGTGTGTAGTTGACATACATGCGACTACTCATAGACGCGTGCAGCTATCGCACGCGTAAACCGAACTGTTGTGTTGTTTCCGCAGTGACAACATCGAGTAGCACATACTTTAATTCGACGATACTTGAATTAACGGGTTTAAAAAAATTTATAACACAAGTTATAACGAAGTTATGTGGTTTTTTCTTTATATCAAACGTGAAAATAACTTTGTTAAAATCAATTTTTTATTATATTGTCGATTATACACTCTCTCTCTCTTTTTCTCTCTTTTTACAAACACATGGTAGCGGATGTGAAAGCCAGGACGAATTAATTTTCTCATAAATTACAACGATTCACGTCAGTGATGATTCAACCGACCATAAATCGGGGTTTTTCCCACTTGCAAAAATTGTTGTCTGTTCAACCGATCGATTACCGATTATCGCACGTTGTCCGAGTTATCCATTAACCACACACGGACCATTGGAAGACCAGATGATGTTCTCGTGTTGTTTGCGTTCGAAACTTTGTTTTCACAAAGTTAACCGATACCGAGGAAGTGATCTCAATGGGTTAGGTCGAGCCGATAACGGTTCTCGAAAGAAACGGTTATCGAACGTCGGAGCGCGCGGAGATCTCGCTCGTTGCGAGAAAGACGGGACCGGGAAAGACGCGGCGGCGGATAACCAGCTCTCGTCACCAGGTCTTCGTCGAAAGCTGGTAACGGGGAAAATCTCGTCTTCCGCGAGTTCTCCCGGCGGAGTGAGAAGGCGATTCCGCGCGAACGATCTGCGCGGAGCTTCGGTGAGGCGAAGCGTGAAATTGCCGCGATCGGCACGCGCACGTCGAACGACATACGAATATAATGGGTCTTCTTTGCGGCCG